GTCTAGAGACGGACAGATATATACTAAAGACAAAACATATCCATTCATATATGTCTTAAAAAACGGGTAACATATGCCGCATAAACTAAAAAATAAGACATTTTCTTTCACATTTTATATTGTAAATGCAATTAAGTATATCGATAACTCGCTACTGAAAATTTATTGAAATATAATTTCTGCAAAAAAAAGATTGTTGTGGTTTTATGGTTTATTGACATAGTTTACTTATTTAAAATGAATATTTTTCATACATAGCACAAGTTCTTGATATTATTTATTTTAATTTCAAATAATAATTGTGTTTCCTTTAATTTTAACCAAGAAAATTTTTCGGTTATTATCCAACATACTTTTGTACATTAAGAAACTCCATTTCACGTCGCGGGACGTTACAGAACAATATTTAAGTAAATAAGCTTTTCCAAAAAGAAGTCGTTTTTATGTGTTTTAAAACTCACTCTTTTATCTCCGGACTTTCGGCTTTTTAGTGTTTCACTTCGACACAAGAATATAAACAGTGGAAAAATGGAACAGTTTTAAAAACTATTCATCTATTTGTTCTGTCTTGCAGCGAGAAAGGAATATAGCATATTGTACCCACATTTCATAGTAAAAATATGGATCCGGTTTAAAATTTTACCTACCTACTTAATTACGTTAACAAACTAAAATTTTCATTGAAGAGACAGGCTGTTCTAGGAAACTTTATTACAAATCTCTTCATTTACGAGCTGCTGAAGGACCGCCGGTCTCATTGATAATTCTTACCTACTTCAGTTCTTACCTGGCTTGTACTTAAGAATGAAGCGAAAAATAGGATAAAGAATTAAATGCGCACTGGCTTTCCTAAATGATAAAATTTACAGTTCAAAATTTTTGACGTTCGGTTTACTTGAACAGTGAGCATTACATACAAATACCATAATTACATCACAATATTTGTTGGGCAAACTTTTGTTTGGAGGAGCAGGATGACAATAGGAAAAAATTAAAATTGTATTAGGTGGTACGTCTTTCGATAAAAATCCTAACTGTAGTCATAATTTGTACTTGTAGCTGTAAACGAAAATAAATATTTTGTAGTTATTATTGTGAACTTCCTACGAATGCAACAGAGAGAAAGATGAATTTATGGTAGTGTTTCCCGCGTAATTTTCAGGTAGTCACTCAGATGTTACGATTCTGAAATTGTTTGCCTGGTTTTCAACATTGTCTAGTACTTTTAGATAACAATGTCCTATACGACCCAACCTATTTATCTTTTACGTGTATTACTGTTTTTCAGAATTTGACAATTTTCATTAATATTTATATGTATTAATGATAATGAACATGGTTTCATCGAAAGCTGAGTGAGCGTCACTTTATTAATAACTCGATGTTTATCGTGTGTTAACATTTCATAATTTAATTTTTATATTACAGTTCTGAAGGAATTAGTTTTGTCAAATGTATTATATACATATATACAGGGCGATTCGGCCTAAATGACGAATTTAATTTGTCGTTAGCACGAAGTCTGTGATTTTAAAAACGTCAAAACAACAAAATTTTTTTCGCGTTCATAACAAAGCTCAACAACCACCTACTTCAAAAACTCTTTATTTTGGAACATGGAATATTAAATGTGGCCGTACTTGCCGACTTGATGATTTCTTCAGGAGACCACGAGAAATCTTCGTCGCTGTACGACTCCATGGTGCGAGTGAACAGTTTAGCACAAAACAGAGAGAAAACTAGTGCAGTGCACTTAAATAAGAATTAAATTATACAATTTTTGAATGCATTTTAATTTCTGACAAATGTGTTGATGAATCGTCATAGCAACGGCAGCTTCTATATTTTGCGTTTAAATGTCTTCCGTTAACAAATGACAAGCTACGACACAATGTTTCATTTAAATGCGCGAAAAAATGAACTGTGACATTTTTTTTCACTCCTCTAGTACATTGAAAAGAATGTATCCTTTATAAACAAAAATTAATAAAAAATGTTACACTTTTTTTAACGAACGTGAAAAAAAACAAAATTTTTAGGAATATCTACAACTTTTTGTAGATATAGTAATATATAATTGCGTTATAATTTTTATTTGCAACCATGCAGTTTTATTTATGTATTTTATGTAAAATAAAAGTTGAATTTATTCTGGAATATGTTTTATACAGTTTAACCAATAACTTGTCAATGCTTTTCACAAAATCAATAAAATTGTATATTTTTTATTAACTGTTTTTCTTTGTAAGTCATGTGTCATACACTTATATCCAAATCAGTAAATGTCATTAGAAAATTATTAATTGTCATGTTTGCATTTCGTGTCAAGATATTTCCTTTGTGCTGCATTCACCTCATATGTACAGTGTGGGACACGGAATTTCAAACGACTTGTCAATCATAATGACAATAAGGTATAAGACTAAAATGTTTTTAAATGTCAGAAAGTTGGTTGTCGTTTGAAATTCCGTGTCCCTGACTGTACAGAGTAATTAGGGTTAACATTCTGATTACTTTAAAAATCATATTTCCTAATTAAAAAAATATGTATGTGTAAGTACAGACTACAAAAGCATAAATAAAATATTTAATGCAATTGTAGAATACACCCGCCAGTAGGCAACTACGCATTATATTAAATTAAATTTATAGTTAAAAAATTTGCATTAAGCAGCTTATGAATTAGTAGTGTTCAAACACTCTTACATTTTTTAATTAATCCTTATTATACAATTGACAAGACTAATTCCTTTAAAACTGTAATATAAAAATTATAAAATGTTAACAGACGATAAATATAGAGTTACGTATTAATAAAGTGACACTCACTCAACTTTCGACGAAACCATGTTCATTTATCCTTGTACGATATTAGTGAAAATGGTCAAATTCTGAAAAACATTAATACACGTAAAAGATAAAATAAATACGTCGGGTCGTATAGGACATTGTTATCTAAAAACGCTGGAGAAACTTGAAAACCAGGCAAATAATTCCAGAATCGTAACATCTGGGTGACTACCTGAAAATTACGAGGGAAACAGTACCATAAATTCATCTATTGTGGCTCTGTTGCATTCGTAGGAAGTTCACAATAATAACTACAAAATATTTATTTTCGTTTACAACTACAAATAGATACAATTTACCGAATACCGTTAGGATTTTTATCGAAAGACGCAGCACCTAACATAATTTTAATTTTTATATTTTAAAAAGGAATGATTTTAAATTTAACTAGTCATCAGTAACAACTTGTTTTCTATTCTCATACAGCTCCTCTTCTGTTTGCCGAACAAATATTGTGATGTAATTTTGGTATTTGTTTGTATGTAATACCCACTGTTCAAGTAAACCGAACGTCAAAAATTTTTAACTATAAATTGTATCATTTAGGAATGTCAGTGTGCATTTAATTCTTTATCCTAAAACTAGCTTTTGCCCGCGGCTTCGCACGCGTTAAATTAGGAGTAAAACAATGTTATTGTGGGTTATCTATAAGAGATAGACATATACCATCGCGCAGTTTTCTGTAGACCTTTTCAAACTGTACAATATCGTACTTTTACATTACTTTATTTTGAGAAATCTCGTAGGGTTCAGCCTGCGTTTGCAATGTAAACGGAAAAAATGTAATTATTAATAACAATATTTCTTTACTATATAATGAATGTTATTATACATATAAACCTTCCTCTTGAATCACTCTATCTATTAAAAAAACCGTATCAAAATCCGTGGCGTAGTTTTAGAGATCTAAGCATACATAGGGACAGACAGCGGAAAGCGACTTTGTTTTATACTATATGTAGTGATGCATGCAATTTGTTTACAAACATATGAATATATTTTGGATTAACTTATTGAGGTGTTCATATATTATTTTAAAGGATTCAGCTCTGAGGAATATTTAATGAAATTTTTAAACACTAAAATATTTTGCTCTTCTTAAAAAAAAACAATAGATAAACGAATATCACTAAGAGTATGTTATTGTTAAATTCAGGAAAAACATGTATTGCATTTTTCATGTATTTTAAATTGAGAAATTTTTATCAAACAAAATCAAAAGATACGATTTGAAAACATGCGAATGAACGTATGTTCACTGATTCGTTGTAAAATTCGACCAAACAATTCTTTCCCGCAGAAATTATGGTAGAAACCGGTTCCTTCGTTACAGTAGACGTGGACCGAATTCGCTCTAACGCAAGGCAGCAAACGTTTCTAGAATGTGGTCTGTAGACCAAATCGCGTCTGAACGCTAAGGTCGAAATTGGCCCGGACTCGCTCTGGTCTGTGGACGACTTAAGTTCTCAGGCGACGATATATCTGTCCGTCTCTAGACTAATAAATTTTAGTTTAAACATTTGATGCTGATTTGCACGAATAAACAAATTAAAACATTAGCCAAACAGCGGTTGCTAACGATGTCAGAAAAAGTGACTTGATTTGAACTTTTTCCAAAATAGTAATTATTTTATCGAACAAAAAAAATATGTTGACAGTATGAAATAAAATCCATAACGACATACCTCCGATAACTCTTTTCGCAGAACTCGTTTCGAAATTAAAAACTCGGCTCCCTACGGTCGCCTCGTCCTGAAACATCTCACTCTTTCTATAAAATTTGAGTTACCGGACCGTATTTATAATAATGTTAGCACTAACAAGTATTTAAAATAACAAGTACTTAATAATTTGTTTGTTTTATTTATTTTTATTCATTATAATAATCCCATTTCTTTATCAGAAACTTTTAAACGAAATAAATCCTACTTGGCTAGAAATAACGGCAAATTTGTGTTAGGCTCATCTGGCAACGTTGCAAATTATTTAAATGATAATTATGAGATTTTTACACATTTTTTCGTCGCCCTCTATCGAGTGGTAGCTTTATTAAATGTATTGTTGCTGTGATTTGAGTTATCTACGCGCGCGATTGGTGTCCAAGCTTTTCGCCGGCGTTTGACGGCCGACTGTTGGTGCGCCATCTCTTGTTCGCCGGCCGTTGGCCTGTTCGCTCCAAACAATAGCATGGGTCTATCTATATGTATTTAATCAATGCCAATTATTAACCACTTCTCTACTATTTAACCGCTTTCAACACCGAATTACGTGTAAGAAACTTTCGCTTTTCATTCCAAACCACCAAATTTACAAAAACCGCACCTTCAAATCTTTTTTTTTTCGTTACAGATGACATTTTTATTTTTGACAACAACATCAACATAACCACACATAACCTAAAACATCAAAATGAAACCAAAAGAGGCACCAATTTGCAAGTCGGAGTGCATTTTCAAGCGAAAAAAGATACACCCGCAGAACATCGTCCTGCGGCTGAAAAACCGCGAAACCTTCTCCTACCGAAGACCCGGCACCCACTTCCACACCGCGAGACAATTCTACCAAAGCATTTTTCCGAATTTTACTGTGATAAACGTGGAAAAGCCGCCTTGTTTTCTGCGGAAGTTCAGCCCCGACGGAAAGTACTTTATCGCTTTTTCGTCGGACCAAACCTCCCTCGAAGTGTACACCTACAAGGGTCCAGCGGCCGCGGCTGACTTATTCTACCGCTGCGACAACTGCGGGGCCGAGAAACGATCTGAGATTTGTAGTAAAATATTCGACAGAATGTTTAAGGTACCATGACTTTGTTAGTAATGCAGCAACTAAGAACACGCTTTGTAGCTGAAATATACGGTTCACGTGACCGAAGGCAGTGAGGAGCTTAATAGGGAATGCAGTTTGTTCAGCGACGACGGTCGATATGTGATAATAGGGTCTGCGGCGTTCATCCCTGAGGAAATAAGGCCATCGTTTTACGAAATACACACGAATAACGAATCTGTGACTCCCAACCCGCGGTCACCTCTAGAAAACTACACTTTACACTTAGTTGATTTACACTTAGGCAAACTGTGTGATACGCGACAATTTAAAGTAGACAAAATTTTTCTCTCGCATAACCAAGGTCTCTATTTGTACAAAGACATCCTAGCTGTGCTCTCCATACAACACCAAGTCATCCACATCTACCAAATCTTGGACGGGATGTTCGTCAACGTGCGAAAAATCGGCCGCTTTTGCTTCGAAGACGACTCCTACTTCTACAATTTGGTTTACCCGAACGAACGAGCGTTCAGAGACGTTAGTATAAATTCTCTAAAGCACCGACTTCTAACTTTTTTGTATAAAAGAGCGGTCACGATTAGTAGAAGGGACAACAGCCCGCTGGAAATACGGAAATTCTTTCACCACTTCAGCAACTACAACGCTTTGAAGTTGTGGAAAATGCAACTACTAGATGAAAATCATCTACTGATTAAGTACGCAAGCGAAGATGTGGTTACTTTGAAGTGTACCGACGCCAGTACGCAGCCGTCTTTTTTCATAGTTTATAATATGAAAGAGAGCAAGATTTTGGCGATTTATGAAAACACGTCGACTGATTTGTTGAATTTGTTTGAGAATTTCTGTGATTCGTTTAGGAATGCGAGCGTGAATAGCGAGACGCAGTTTACTTGTAGTCCCTCGAATAACATTTATGCTCGAATTTTGCAACAAAGGTGAGTTTTGTTGGTTGATAGGAGTATATTCATTGTGTGATTGTAGGTTTAAACAAACCATAGTTAGTGCTAAATACGGGGGCGAAACTGAAGCCACGAAAAGACTGTTAGCTCAATTACCAATAAGTGCCCAATCTTACAGTAGTTCGCCTTATTTAGACTTATCTTTGTTTAGCTATGATGATAAATGGGTGTCTGTGATGGAGAGGCCGAAGACTTGTGGCGAGTACCCAATCAGGTAAAATTAGTATAAATCGACTTACCGGCACCGCATTTTACACAAAAGATTCACCCAAATTGTAAAAACACAGTTCAGTTAATTTTTTCAAACTTTCAAACACCGCCATTTTAGTTGACATATGTCAAAGTTCGATTGGCAGCACTGCCACACGTAAGTGGCGATTTGGTTAATTTAATCCATCCGTCTTTGGATTATAGTTATTTGCTTTAAATAGCTTCTTTGTGATGAATTGTGTCTTATAACTATATATTAAGGGGGAACGCTAGACGAGAGACAAGTTTGAATTGGGCGCCATTTGTTGCCTTAAACGCAACCAGCAATTCTTCTTTTAATCTAGAGCAGCTTTCAACAGGAAAAGGTACAGGGGCGGCGCTTAAGGCGGTATCACTCGGCCTGGTTTGGGACAGTTTTTATCCCATTTGAAATGTCCTGTAAAAACGAGAGAAATTGACTTAGGACGATAATTTTTTTTCTTAACAATCCTTATTAGATATATTTTGTCCCTCTTATATTAAAATTTGATTTTCAGTTCTGTTTTCTGTGTAAAAAAAAAGTAAAAACATGCAAAAATGACGACATTTACATTGCTGTTAACAACGTACACTTTGTAGTGCGAAAAAAATTAAAAAAAGAGGTATCTACAACGAACCTTTCTTAAAAGATTGCATCAATAGGTTTTTTAATAAGTGTTGCACAATTCATATACAACGTCAGTTAAGTAAGCACTGCAGATGAAAAAATTGCCTCAAGTTTTCAGCTGTACCTACTGCGATCTCTGTCGCACAGTGGGTCGGACCTTCCGGCAGAAGTTGACCGTGAAATTGGGAAGGCGGAGATTATGCAGGGTAAAATACCTACCCTGACAAAAGAGGCTTCAAATTTTACTCGGTTTGCTCTCCAGTTTTCGATTCTTTCGTCATTTTGTCAAAATAGAAAATATTGGTGGAATAAAAAAAAAATTAGCACAACACATTCAAAATTATTCGAAAGCTATCGGTGTTTTATTTTTGATACTCTATTATGTAAATTGTTGAATTATAAAAATTGGTCCAACATATTGGTATAACATATTCAGTTTTGTCAGATAATTGTAAGATTCGATTTAGAGATTTTTTTGCTGATAACGCAGTAAAGAGATCCATCTGGCGAATGAGTAATTTTATGTTTTCTCGACGTTTCATGACCCCTAGACTATAAAAAAGTAAATCTCCCGTTTGTTGTGGTTTATCAATGCGTTCATATTTTTTAGAATTGCATATACAGGGTGACTAAAAAAAAAATTACCATTGAGTCAATTTATTCTATAGATTAAATCAACTACGGCTCACTCCATATTTCCCAAAATTTGGTACAACAATACTGTTATTGTTAGTATTAGACTGCACCTATCGGAATTGGTACACGTGCCTTGTAAAAATATTGATAAGGTCATGACAAAATTTTGTAATCAAAACACTTCTTTGAAACATACACATAGCATGTCTCATTACCTTTACTTTACTGTTAGACACATCTTTTTATAACTTTAAAAGTTACAATAAAGAGAAAAAATAAAATTCTAAAAATCTAACCACAGTTGCAAGAATTTTCTAGCACTTTAAATATTCTGTGCATGTCGTACAACAAATTTCGGAAATTAGAAGAAAATTTCCAAGAAATTTTCCAAGAGGAATGCTGGAATTCAATGCTTCAGGCAAGACAAGAAGAAAGTTTTTTGGCAAAAGAAGCTGGAGAAATAGATGATACTGGAGTACCCGTCATTACGGTTGTAGCGGATGGATCATGGGCTAAGCGTTCCTATCGTAGCAACTATAATTCAAAATCGGGTGCAGCATGTATTGTTGGACAACGAACAGGAAAATTATTATTTTTAGGGATAAGAAATAAATACTGTACGACATGTCAAAATGGAACAAACAAAAATCATCTTTGTTTTAAAAACTGGAACGGATCTTCCACTTCTATGGAAAGTGACATTATACTTGAAGGTTTCAAACAAAGTGTGGCAATGCCTGGTCTAAAATATGGAATTTTGGTGGCTGACGGTGACAGTAGTGTTTATTCCTAAATTGTGAAAGAACGACCATATGGTCCGTTTCCAGTAAAGAAGATAGAATGTTCCAACCACTTGTTAAGGAACTTCGTCAGTCAGTTACGAGTTCTACACCAAAAACGGTTTAGTTCCAAAGGTTGCCAAATCCAAATGTTGTTAAGGCAAATGTTGAAAAATAATATTGAAAGGCTGAGACTAGCTATCTGTTGTGCAATTAAATACAGGAGATCTACTAATGAAAATACGTCAGAAGAGCAGAATGCAGTTTTGAAAAAAGATATTCTGAATAGTATTCACTATGTCTTTGGTAATCATGAAAAATGCGATACATACTATTGTAATGGTTTCAAAGACAAAGAAAAAAATTTTATCCCGGAGTTGGAACAATGTGGCTTATATAATGACATTGTAATCCACTTAAACAGATTGGTTAATAACAGCAGCAGCCTTTTGAAAAACATGACAAACAATGCTTCCGAAAATTATAACTCTGTCTTGGCAAAATTTATTGGAGGTAAAAGAGTTGATTTCATGAGAAGACAGTCTAAGGTGTTTTGCAGCTGGTTATTCGTGGAATTCGCAAGGTGAATATCTTTCAAAGATTCACCAACCCATAACACACAGAAGTCCTGGAGTGCACACAAAAAGGTTTGTGGATAAACGAAAAGCAGTTTTATGTCGAAAACGTCTTCTTTATGACCGAGAGAAAAGAAACGCAAAAAGATCTCTAGATAAAGCAACTGCGGATGCAGATTATGGATTGGATCCTCACATAATGGACACGGAGATCTCAGATGAATTAAAACAACGTTATATACATAGGTTATGCAAAACTATAGAAGAAATTAATCAGATTGAAGCTTCTACCAAGGAACAATCAAGCTGCACATTGTGGCATGAAGAAAGACGAATCCGTCTTACAGCTTCTGCATTCGGTCGGATATGTAAACTTCGGCCTCAAACAGATTGTTTAAAAGTTAGTAGGTCCATTTTGATAGGATTTAGAGGCAATACGAGTACCAGATATGGAGTAGATAATGAAGTAATAGCTCGACGGGACATGGAATCCATTTTAAAAGAAAAAATTCGTCCATGTGGATTATATATTCATCCAACCGACAATTATTTAGGTGCCTCTCCAGATGGCATAATTGGCGAAAACACACTTTTAGAGATAAAATGCCCATATGCAGCCAGATTTGTCACTCCTGAAGAAGCCATTAATCAAAAAAAAGTAGACTTTGCAACAATAGTAAATAATAAATTCAAACTCAAACGCAATCATAGCTACTTTTACCAAGTTCAAGGACAACTCTATGTTTCTAATAAAAAAAGTTGCTTCTTTGTTTTTTGGACACCGAAAGGAGTTTTATACGAAGAAATTTCCAGAGACGAAACATTTCATAAAGAAAAAATGCATCAGAAATTAAAAGTTTTTTTTTTCAATTTCTATCTAGGAATTAATTAAGGATGACCATAAAAGTTAACTTTTTATATTTGGAGGCAGAGAGAATAAGAAATTCTTTATCCTAAATTTTATGTCTGAATTATGTATTATTTGTTACAGTTATTGTTGTTTCTTTCTTCCCAAGCATAAGCTAGGAAAGTATTGTAATAGGGTCCATCGCACGAATTTCTAATTTTGTTTTCTCAACGTTTCATGATTTAGGATATGCAAAATCAAATCTTTACACTTTCTCAACAAAGCTAAATATGTTACACTTTGCTTCAAGAGCGCGGTAAGTTCTGTCTAAACAAGTTCAGACCAAAGTTTAAATAAATACTATGCATAATTTAAGAAATTGAAATTATAAAATTAATGTTTTGATAGATATATTATAATTGTAATTTAATACTCATTGTTTTATTATAACTGGAGTACACAAAATGTTTATATTATTTATTATACTACCTCTGTTCCATAACAAGGGTTTCATTTGCAATATTACCTATAGATTAAATTAAAAAATTCACCCTTATCATAAAAACTGTGAAAGGTTGCATTTGTGATTCACGCGGAATTTCGGATGCAGCGTGCACAACACTCCACCCTCTTCCAGTGGTCCAGACCAATTTTCATTAAAACCTCGCTAAGTGTCTACCGTTATTTGATGGGGTCGTTTTGAAAGAGCGACAACATTATACCTCCTACACGCACGGAACAACGATAGCAGTAGCAGGCGTTAAGATATTTGAAAAGTGACTAGAGAACACTAGAGAGTGTTTGGACTACGTGAAGAGTTATTTATGCTCAACTGTTGTGTGACAATTCTGAGTGATACCACCTTAAGATGCGCGACTTGTAGTCGGGCTAGCAGTGGCGTAACATCGATGTATTGAGAAGGGAGTTTCGGCTGAGTTACATTTCTTTCAAAAACAATTAAAAATAGAGCAATTTCCACAAAAGAATACAGACAACCATTTAATAAAAATAAATTTATTTGTTTGGTAAAAAAATAGACTTACGTAACAATAAATTATGATAATCTATCACACAAAATTTGGTATTTTTAATTATTAAACGAGTTTATAATGTGAGGTATTATAGCATGAGTAAAAAATTTCACGAATCCCTTATTATAAACCAGTATCATATACTATTTTATAGTCGACTAGTCTTAAAGCAACAGTTAAATCTTTAGATAAAAGCGGGCTTAAAACTCTGAGAATAAGCAACCTATGACTATAATTATATGGTTTTTAATTTTCTGGCACAATTTATCGATACCGTAAAGTCGGATTATAATAAGGCTTAACGTTTTCTGTCTTTAACATTGAAGTAATAATCGCAGTTCGTATTCTAGCATAATTGACCCTTTTCCTGTAAGCAAAGTGAGTAGACATTATATAAATTCCAATGACACAGAGTGAGACAACATCACGCAGGCGAAGTCAGATTTTTGGAGCGCCAAGTTTAAATTAACCAATGAGCGACAGATTACGC